CCGGCTGCCTCCTGCACGCTCCCCACTGGGGATCGAGCCACAATCCAAGCATGTGCCCTTGGCTAGAATTGAACCTGGGACCTTTCAGTCCGCAGGCCAACACTCTATCCACTGAGCTAAACCAGCCAAGGTGTCTTCCTCACTCTTCCCTTCTCACTCTGCAGTGAGCATACCCTGAGGCTACCTAAAGATTAGCATAACCTGGACTTGCCCTGAGCTCACTCACTTCCCTCCTCCTGGTCAACTGCTTACATCCTGTCTTATCAAGCCATCTTCCTCTCTGAGTGAGAACCCCAACTCCAGTGGCTCAATTGCCCCCTCCCTTCACCCTGTTTGTCTCCTCTTCCTACTAAATAAATGTTCTGCCCTCGCCAGGGAACTGAGTGGCTGAATTTCTTCTGGTTATGTTTTGTGATAGGAGGCCCTCTATGGGACAGCCAAGACCAAGTGCCCACTCATTAAGATTGTGAGGATGAAGGATGGACTTCCTACCCATGAGTGGTCCATTAATGGCCTTAGCTTCTAGCAAAGGACCATTCAATAACCATCTCTACTGGCCTCACATCCCAGGCAGCTCCTCATCTGCCCCCAATCATCTGCTTCCCCAGGAGGGCTTTTCTCTCACTTCAAAGTGTCTTGTCCCTCATTATAAAGATCAAAGCTGTGGACTACCAGCCTCAGTATTTTCATCTTTTATTGTAGGTAATGGGACAAGGATAACTTCAACTTTCAGTCCAGAAGTTACCAAGAAGATAGATTTTGGGTGGAATGATGGTAACCAGGGGCTAGGAGTAGGGGGGAAGAAGACTTATTGTTTAATGGGCACAGTTTCTGATTGGGATCATCACAACCTTCTAGAGATGTATATCGGTAAAAGTGTACCTAAAATTTTTATTCAAGTGCTATGTGTAGCTCATCAAAAAGGTGACTAATGTTGCCAAAGGGGTGATCGATGGAGGTAGCAGAGGGGGAAGAAAATGCTCAGAATGAGATATTTAAAAATGCATGAGAACCATGTAGTTATTATTCCTAGAGAGTTATATGCTGCTTTGGATCTTTGTGTTCTCATCAAGAAAAGAAAACAGAAATACTATGATAAATTTGCAGAGGATCAGGAGGAGACCCACAGAGGTGATTAAAGTGTTGGTGAATATGACCTACGAACAAATAAATGCCGAAGAAATTGGAAACCACTGCTACTTTAGGATAACTTAAAAGAGAACTTCAAATATGCAATCACTGCTGTGGTGACCAAGGGACGGGAGGGTGTGTTGTTAAGTGAAAAACAAAATTATGGCCTGATTCTACTCTCTCCTGTTCACACAACCCTGTCCTGAACTGTGATAACCACAATATTTTACAGCTCAATAAAGACCGAATGAGAGCAAACATTAAAGGAATTTTAAACACACACACACACACACACACACACACACTCTAAAGGAATTAAAATTAAAATTGAAGCTGAATCTTTTGTGTAGACTGGATCAAACAGAAGGAAGCTCCCACAAAAGGAAGATTAGGAATCTGGGGTGTGTTTAACAAAGACTCCTTGACTATGGGGTGTACCTATAGGATGGACTTTGCAGGGAGGTGGTGGAATCTTCTCTCCCAGAGATTGAACAATAAAGCGGGGGGTGAGAGGGGAGTGGGGACGGGCTATACACAACATTCTTCCTCTAGAATGGAATCTGCAGCAGGCAGTAGGTTCAGTGACTCAGAGACCATAAAAAGGTGACCAGGATTTCTGACCAGAATTTAAGAATTACTGAGAGGTAAAACTGACCCCGAGAGAGAATGGAATGAGGGTGAGACAGTTCTTTCTCTTCTCAGGCACTGAGACACAGAGCAGTGGTTCCCTGGCCTTTTTTGTATTACCGACATGCCCCTTCTGATTTCGGCAGTTTGGGAGGGAGCCATATGTCCTGGAAAAGTATGAGAGTTGGCAGGCTGAAACTATTATCACTGTCACTTTCTGGGAAGGAGGGTATCTATCAGACACCTCTCTTGCAGAAATCACTTGAGAGAGGCTATTATATTATCTGATACCTGACAATAAATTCTTAAACTGCCTACCATTTCTGTTTTGGAAAAGTATCCTGGAATTCCTGCATTGGGTTACAACATGCAAACAGGAGCAAGTCACCCATGCTCAAAGCCTTGTCAAGCCTCACATCTGTAGCTTTCAAGAGAGGATGGCTAAGCCAGACCAAGAACCATCTCCTCATGGGAAGCTGGGATTGAGGTCCATGACTGGACACTTCTGCTAATTAGTCATTCTTCGCATGACATAGAAGTACAGTTGAGGTTTTAAAGCATGATACAATTTCGAGGGCTTATTTGCATTCATATCTAGTATTCATGCTTTGTCCTCCTAATCCCTAAATTATTACTTTAGCTGCTATTTATCATAAATTTAAAAGAGGAAGATACGGTACATCTAGGATGATGATGGTTAGCTGGTGGTTGGCACAGCTGACTTCTGGGACTAGTTAGTTGCTGTTCAGGTAGCATGAACATTATCTTGTGTACATATGGGGACTGACAAATTTCCCGTTGACACAGCTCACCTTACTCATGAGCAGCAACTTTTCCAATAGGGTGTATTCAAGGTTCCAGAATACCATTCACATGTCCTGGTGCCTGAGATTCCACCATTGAAGTCATTTCTTTCTTTCTTTTTAAAAAAAAAAAAATATATTTTATTGATTTTTTACAGAGAGGAAGGGAGAGAGATAGAGAGCCAGAAATGTCGATGAGAGAGAAACATCGACCAGTTGCCTCCTTCACACCCCACACTGGGTATGTGCCCGCAACCATCGTACATGCCCCTGACCAGAATCGAACCTGGGACCTTTCAGTTCGCAGACCAACGCTCTACCACTGAGCCAAACCGGCTTCGGCTAAAGTCATTTCTTTATCTTTGTTTATCCTAGTATTCCTGTCTCTGAAGATTCTCTAAAAATGCAGAGAAGCTGAGGACAACATTGTACGAATAAATATGCAAAAAGGATTGGTGTTGTGTGTCAGCTTTCCTCCTACAACTGAGCCCCGTGATTTTGGTAGTAACATGCACTTATAAGCCTGCATGCAGGCATTCATCTCTGCATGGTTGAGCACCTACTATGTGCCATGTACTGTACTCAGTGACATCATTCCTGGCTCCAGGAGGACCACAGTCTGACAGGAGAGGCAGATGTACACACAGTGTGCTAGAGTCCGGACAGAGGGATGGACACTAGGACACAATTACTTGCTGAAGGATGTGACTGGGGCTCTGGGCTGGGTTTTGAAAGGCAAAGAGTCTCCCACCTCTAGTAGAGATGGGAGCAAGTTACATCAGTTTGTTTTCTTGGAGCTCTTTCTGACCCCTGATGAATGTCCAGGCATCCTCATCAGAAAGTCACAGGGTCACAGGGTGAGAGAAGCCAGTGGGTCCCTCAGGAGGTCCCCAGGGAAGACCTCTGTCCAGTGGAGTGTTCAGTCTAGGCTCCTCCTGTCACTGCTTGCAGGCAGTTCAAAGAGGAGAGGGACCTTAACGAAAAATTCGCCATTTTGTCTTGGGAAGGCCCAGCTCTTGGCCAGCAGTCAGGTCATTTGTCTAATCCCTTTGTGGCAGGAACTTTAAAGGAACACCTGTATATTTGCTATATTTTTATCTACAACCCCTGGCCATCACTTGAGGATAACTATGCTGATTTTTTGGTGTGTCCCTGAGGTTCCTCCCATTCACTAGTACATTTACCAACTCCAGCATCCTCTGTCCATGGTTCGGAATACAGAGTCTGGAGCCAGATCACCTGGTTCATATCCTGGCCCAGTGACTCACCTGCTCCCTGCCTCAGTTTCCCCAAATGAAGGCAGGGATAATTATGGTTCCTACTCTTTTGAGATGTTGTGAGGCTGCAGTGAGTTGGACAAATAAAGTATTCATACATTTAAGAAATGTTGACTTGCCGTAACCAGTTTGGCTCAGTGAATAGAGCATCGGCCTGCGGACTGAAGGGTCCCGGGTTTGATTCCCATCAAGGGCATGTGCCTTGGTTGCGGGTGCGTACCCAGGGTGGGGGTGTGCGAGAGGCAGCTGATCGATGATTCTCTCTCATCAATGTTTCTGCCTCTCTGTCCCTCTCTTCCTCTCTGTAAAAAATCAATAAAATATATATATATTTTTTTAAAAAAAGAAAGAAATGTTGACTCACTGATCCACATTCGGCAGAACACCTCAGCTGATGCTATCTAAATTAGTATGTAGGGTATGCCCTGTTGACCTGTTGACCTGAAAGACAATCAGAACATAGCAGTCAGTTCAAATATTCAGCCAGGTGCCCGTGGGTCTGTGCCTAATATGGTTAACCTGTTAACCGAGTGGGACGTATAAATACGTCAAACTTAAACAATATCGGGAACGGGTAGGATGTATGAATACGTCCTGGAAATATACGTTGCGCCCTGAGAGGGACGGTATATATTTTTTGTAATCTTTATAATTGTTTGTAAAATTTACAATTTTTTAATTCGATGTTTCCATTTTTTTGTTGGTATTCTTTTCTATTTTTTTTGTAATTTTGTATTTTCCTTTGTGCTTTATATATAAATAAATGAATATATATATCATTTATTTTAATTAAGTATAAATAAAAAATAATAATAATATGAAATGACGTCCTCTGGGCGTGACATACTGACACGTCCTAGTGAAAGAGTACGCGCCCCTTACAGGCTGCGTCATTAAAAAGGGAACTCCCCGGTTAACTGGTTTAAGAGAGTTGACCAATGAGGTCATTTTTATGAACAGGCCCAGCAGCCTCTCCACAGGTCCCGGACGGGCTCTTTCTGCCCGATAATGAAATGCCTGCCGATCGCACTGCTGCCTGGCACCTTCGCAGACGGTCTGAGGCGAGCATGCTGGCCCAGAGGGAGACGGAGTCTGTCTCCGCGGTTTCTTTCCCTCCAGAAGTGACGGGCTGTAACCGGCTCCGTGTTCGTGTGCTTGTTAGGTTTGGAGGAGACCAGCCTGTCTACATCAACATCATCAGAGACCCCGTCAACCGGTTTCTGTCTAACTACTTCTTCCGGCGATTCGGAGACTGGAGAGGGGAGCAGAATCACATGATCCGCACGCCCAGCATGCGGCAGGAGGAGCGCTACCTGGTGAGTCCTGCTGCGGCCAAGAGGTGGCTGGGCCTCCCCCTGCCCGGGGAGCAGCTCCTGGGCTGGAAGCTCCCTGCCTGCCCATGGCATTCCCGTGGCACCTCCATGGAGCCTACGGTGGTGAGGGCTCTTCCTTGGGGAGGAAGTCTTTGCCCGTGAAAAGTTATTCTGGATGACCCAGATCATAAGGAACTCTTCCCAATGGCTTTCTAAAGCGTGCTGCCCTCGGCTTGATGGGAGTGCTAGACTTTAGTCCCAGGGCAGAAACGATCTTTCCCTTTGGGCATCGCTCTTTGAGGGTCACGAAGCATATTCTCCTACCTCATCCCATTCATTCCCATGGCAATCCTAGGAGGGAGAGGTGCCTTCAGACGAGGACTCTGATGTCCCAAAAGATGTGGGGCTTGCCAAAGTTGGGGCCCCCGGTAAGAGCCCCAGCTGTAACTGACTGTCTCTGGGTCCTCTTGACTTGAAGTCCGGGTGCTTTCCTCCACAGCCCAACAAAGCCAGGCCACCTCAGCAGAAGTGTGCGCCTCTTTGCAGTGTGTTTCAGGATGCTCCGCTCCAGGGGGATGTGGGTTTTGACCTCAGTCATTATTTCCAGGGCTCTGCGTTGGAAACAAAAATAGAAGGAAGACTTATGCATCTTCCTTTCCAGAATTAAAGGGGGCATTTCTCCCTTATTTGTGACCTAAATTGACAAAAGCGTACTGAATAGCTGAAAGCTGTTAAGGAGGCTGAAATCCCGTCTCTCTGGGTGAGAGAGCCCCGGGGTCATGCAGACCCACGCTGGGCTGTCAGCTCAAACAGAGGGAGCAGAGAGTTGTGGAGGGATCAGTGCACATCTTTTCCACTGCTGGAAGCCAGCCCTGAGCCTCACCCCTGTGGAGGGGCTGTGGCAGGGTCTCGGTGGTTAAAAGAAAGTAGTAGTATTAGTCACAGCTCTGGTACAATGTGAACACTTCTATTTCCTCACTTCGTTTTTTTAAATGTAATAAAGGCTGTGTTTGGAGGATGGGAGCACTTTTGGGTGATGTGGGGTGTTATCCAGTGCTGCACATAGTTTTTGGATGAGCCAAGACGAGAAACCAAGGCCTTTCCCTCACCACTCAGCTACCCAGTACTTCAATGAAATAGTTTGATGGCATATTTTAAAAAGTGGTTTTTAGTTTTGATGGCCAAAACCCTAATCTTTTCCTTTAAACTGCGTTGTGAATATGGCTATATATTTTCTATTCATGATGAGTGTGTATTCAGAGTACAGAACCACTGTCCGAGGAATAATGTTGACTCAGATCACCTTTCCATTTCTATTGGATCTCGATCAGCATTCACATCATCTTCTAAAAGCACAGGTCATAGTCCACTGAATCAAAATGTATTTCCAGGTTTCTGACTCAATATCCATACCAAGTTATAGCAGAAGTTGCTGGAAAACCAAAGACATGGAAATGAGTCTGATCAATCTTTCTCTTCCAGTAGGTAGGAAGTAAATCCACAGCCTACCAAAAGATGAAAAATGATTTGAAAAAATGAGCAAGTGGAGGGACCGTCTGGAGATCCAGAATGCCTAAGGGGTGGGGAGAGGCTGTTAAAGAACAGGTCAGGGAAGTCACAGAGGATGTGTAGTTTGAGCAACTAGCAGAATGAGAGATGAAGTTGAATACTGGTCAGCGGGAAGAGTATAGCTCCAGGTGGAGGGGGCAGCTGGGGCAAAGGCCTGCAGTAGACACATGACATTTGTGGCTCATTCAAAGGTTAGTATGGGAGGACAGTATGGCTGGTATAAAGTGAGGAAGGGGTGGGGAGAGGAAAGTGGCAGGTGGTGAGTTGAGAGAGGTGAGGATTGGAGACAATAGGTCATATAAGGCCCTGGGAGTCACTGTGGTTACTGTAAGTGGGTTGGGAAGTAACATGAATGACCCCGAATGGAACCCACTGTAATCAGTGACTCTCTCCTGAACCTCCACTGGAGAGCTGAGTCCTTCTGATGACACAGCAGGAAATGTGTCATCCCATCACTCTCAGCAGTGCCTCCTTCTCTCTAGAAGTCAGGACTCCCTGCTTCTCTGGACCTGCATGTCGCTGACACACCCAGATGCTTGTCCTGAGTCTCACAAGACTCCCACACTCACAGTTTCCAGGGGCGCCACACTAAATGTGACTTGCGTGATGGTGACCCCGAGTTGTATAGTGCACAACCTACACCACTGTACGTGGAGGTCCAGGTGTTGTTCTGTGCTCCCCCAGGGTTCTGTGCTGGCTCGGTCATTATTTTTGGGTGTGGGGGTGTTGGTAGAGTGTCTTAACTTCTCTCCTCTCCTCCCAACAATCTATCAGCTCTTTGAGGTAGGGTCAGAGTTCCATTTATGTCCCTGGTACCCAGAAGAGGGGCTGAAATAATGGAGACCTCAGTAGCACTTTATTTAGCCTATAAAATAAACAAGGACAACAGAACATGAATGTAGGAATTGAGAGGAATTTTCTAGATTGTTCTACCCTGTCAAATTTTGTTACCCTATAAGTCACTCCACATAACACAGTCTTCACACAAAGAAGAAACTGTAATCATTAGGCAGAGAAGTTGTAAACATAAGAGGAAAAAGTATGTTTTTTATTGATTTGAGAGAGGGAGGGAGAGAGAGAGAGAGAACCATTGATGAGATAGAAACATCAATTGGCTGCCTCCTGCACATCCCCTCTGGGGATTGAGCCCGAAACCTGGATATGTGCCCTAACTAGGAATTGAACCGGAGACCTCTTGGTATCTGGGTTGATGCTCCTCCACTGAGCCACACTGGCCAGGTGGTTTAGATTTTTTTTTTTTTTTTTTTTTTGAAAGCCCATAGAATGTTGAAAGTTGGAGATAAGTCTTCTATTTTTGAGAGGCCGGTAGCTGGCTTTGTGGTGCGATTTGAGAGAGTCCAGGGAAATTTCCCCACCTGGAATTCTACTCTTAAAGAGATTTTCAGGGGCCCCTTCCCTTCCCACGTGTAAGCACCTGGGAACGGCCTGTGTCAGATGAGCTCATCAGATCACTCCTTGGCAAGGCCTCAGCGGGAGAGAGTGGGCTCCTGGAAGCAGCAGGGGCAGAAATCAGGGGGTGGGAGGTGGGGGGGAAGAGGGGTTGGCCTGCAGAACACGTGACTCCTTTATGATCTGGCCCCAGCCTGACCCTGTTAGGAAGCTGTTTTCTTGTTCAAAGGATAGTTTGTTTATTTGGAAGAAGGCAGTCTATGGCCTTTCTTTTTAACAGATGAAACTTTTTACTTCATCTCCCATTAAACCCTTGAAATAAAACGGCCCCCTGTCAGAGCCTGTCCTCGTTTTGGCAGGCCTGGGTGGTCAGTTGTTTGCCTCAAAAGAGGGTGTTGTTTGTGTCTCAGTGGGGTGTAGGGCAGCTGTGAGGAGACCACTGTCCCCTCGGGGAGGTCCTGCTGGGGTCGAGAACAGGAGAGGGGACCTACAGGGTGTCCCCCTCCCAAGGAGACCGGCACCCTCGGGGCGCTGGGCCATGAGGCCTCTCCCTTGCACACTGTATGCACAGTCATCGGGGTGGCCCGAAACGGGTCTACTGATATACCCGCGTTATTCCAGGTCTCAGCGCTCTGACGCCACTCACTTCAGCCAGCTGCCCAAAACCAGGCAGTTCTGCTCCTGGCCTGGAGCCTGGCAGAGCTGCTTAGCATACAGCTGAGAGAGGCCAGGGCCTGAGCCCGCTCTGGGGGTGAAATAATGTCACCTTGTGATGCTGGGTGGTTTGGGAGACCATGGAAAGGGGTAAAGGAATCCCAGGATTTGCAGGGTCCCTGGAGGCCACAGGTGCAGGAATGGGGCCTGGGTTGAGGGGTGGCTTCGGGGCCTCACCAGGTGTGGCTTGGGGGCCCCGCCAGGTGTGGAAGCCAGGCCTCCTGATGCTCCAGCTGTGCTGTTTGATCACTCGGACTTTATGATGGATTTCCTGAATGGTAAAGGGAGACCAGGACTGGGCCACGTTCCATGTTTTCTTGAGCAAAATAATTTTGTCTGACACCATCTGTACATCCCTACAAAGACATAGCTGTTATAGAAATGGTAGGTTTTGTTTTTTTTTTTCCCAAATGTGCAAGCATCTTATAGCTGTTCTCCATATTTTCTGGAAACAATTAGATTTTCTACATGTTTTCAATTCTTCACTTGTATTTAAAAAAAAAAAATCATCTTCACATGAATTCTTGCTAGAATGGATACCAATTCATCTCTTAGCAGCCACAGTGTGAAAAGGCAGTTCTCCTGAACTGAGTTTGTCTGAGTTCAGAACCGGAAACCCGCTCCCGGCTGCCCAGGTGGCTGCCTCCCCCTCGGTGTGGGAGTCACCAGGTGAGGCAGATCCGGGCCAGGCACACCGCATCTGCCCAGCCCCTGAGCCTCTTCCCCAGCTGCAGCCCAGGCTTCTCTGTCCCAGAGCTGAGAAATACCTGGCACCCGAGCCCTGCTGAGGAAAGAATGAATGACTGCTAATGAAAAGCAACTGTTGGGACTTAAGAGCAAGGGAGACCATCTCATTCCTGCTGAAGCCATGCTCATTCCCAGTCCCTGAGTTTCCCTGGAAATGGATTTCTCACGCTGCCACTTCCATCAGTCAGTGACACATGCGTGGCTGAGGCCTGCCGTTCGCTTAAAACCCTGGCCTCAGGAAGCAAAGGCCCCCAAATGCCAAGGTGGGCTCCTGACCTGACCTCACTGCCACTTCCCTGTTGGATCGCCACTGGAAGAGCGGAAAGAGGGAGAGGGAAATTTTTCCAGGGAGAAAACTGCCACTGGGGGACTGTTTATTCAGCTTGGCTATACAGATGGAAAGTAATGCATGTTTAAAAGAAAAGATGCGTAATTTACAGCTTCTTACTTCATAAAGAATTCAGTGAATCATGTTGGCCCAGTTGGATTCTGGAAAAGCCTGAAACTTGTCCAGAGTCAGGGGAGGTTTGCAGAAAGCTGTGCATTTCCATCTGCCTGAAAGT